AAAAGGTCTAAATTTGACTTTTCGATAGTATAAAATGAATTAGAAGTTGAAATCAAAGATGTTGATACTATTGTTGTAGTGCTTTCGATGTTAATCAGTCGAAAATGCTATGAACGATTTTGTGTTGTCGAAGGGTAGAGAAACTTCGATGATGGTTCGATAGTGGCTCTTCAATGACGATTCAAACGGAAAAATAGAATTTTTCGACATTGCATTTTCGAGGGTTAGAATGCTTTGAGGTAGAACTGGTGTCGAAAGTCAATGTTATTTTGACATTTTAAGACTAGAATTATTAAAATTTCGGTGTTGAAAAACTATTTTAAGTTTGTAAACCGATTTATTTAAATTTCAATTTATTGCAGCAGTCTACAAACATTAAAAAACAAACAAAATTCTTATTACATGTTGCAAACCGTTTTATATTCGAAAAAACAAAAAACACCTTCTTAATCTCAACAAGTATCGAGTCATTGACTCATTTCGTTACAAATAAAACTACTTTAAACTTCAATTTCAACAATTAAAACGTTTGGACTAGACTGCGTATCAAGAGATACTCCATAACTCCACGGACTAAATTCCTAATTACTCTATTTAAAAACAATATCATCTCTCACATAGGCGCCACCTCACCCATTACCACAAAAGTGTGGTCTCATACCACACCCAAAGAGTGGTGCCACACTTTGGTTTTTTTTGTTAATTAAGTAAAAACTATAATTTTAATAAAAACCATTCATTTCATTACTTCAAGATAAAAATAACATTACATTCCATTGCCCAAATAAAAATCCTACAAACTTAAAAAACACACACACACACACACACACACTAGAAATTTTAAACCTACCAACTCAAAAAAACGTACATTAAACGATTTAAAATAAACGCACTACATGAAGTCGTCCTCCAAGAACTCGTCTTCCGGGTCCTCCCCCGGATCCAAATTGAGGTCAATGTGTTGCATCTTGTAAATGTGTTCCACCAAATCCATACGAAGATTGTGAAATGTTTCATTGCAACGAACCTCTGCTCTTTTTTCAATATACTCGTCGCCCCCAATTTCTATTCCCTGTGTCGCGTGAATGGTTTCCTCTTCATCATACTCACATATCGCTTTTCCTTCATTTTCGATAATCATATTATGCAGTATTATACATGCATACATGACTTCATGCATTTTTCCTCGCTGAAAAAAATTGCTAGTTTTTTAATATAAACCAACGTTTCTTGAGAGCTCTAAAAGCCCGCTCGACATACTTCCTAGCTCTTTCTTGAGATTTCTTGAATTTTTTCCGACGAGCATCATTCGGACACGTAAACGATTTAACAAAAACTGCATACTCAGGATAGATCTCATCAACTAGATAATAACCATATTTATATGGTGTTCCATGCAATTGGAAAGAAGAATCCGGTGCAGATCCATCGTATATGTTGTTAAATATAGGTGACCGATTAAGAACGTTAATGTCGTTGAGGGATCCAGGATAACCAAAAAAAGAATGTCAAATCCACTGATCCTATGACGCCACCGGTTCAAGCATGACCGTTAGATGCCCATGATCACCTCGGGTAAATTGACCATGGTGTGAGGCATGACAATTTTCTCATGCCCAATGTAGACAATCTAAACTTCCTAATATTCCAGGAAAGCCATGTACACTAGCATGATGAGATTGCAATTTCATGATGTCATTGCGTGTAAGCTTACGTAAATATTTTGGACCATAAAAGTGAATAATAGTTTTGCAAAAATAGTGTAGACTATCTTGTGCGATCCTAGCTGACATCCTAAAACTCTCGTCCAACGCATCAGGAGGGATGCCATATGCTAACTGACGAAGTGCAGCTGTACATTTTTGTAAATGGGTAAAATCGGGTGTACCTCTAGCATCGGGCCGTTGCTCGAAAAAATCACACTCCCTTGTTACATCTTCGACTATACGTTCGTACAATGGTTTGAACATTCTGAAACGCCTTCTAAAGTAGTATCCTTAAAAAGTGACATTTTCTTGAAAGTAGTCGTGTATCAAACGTTGGTTTGCATCTTCACGATCTCTAAAAATATATCTCTGTGTTCTCTAGTTCAGCACTGGCAGATGCCCTACTGCATGAAGCTTCATACATTTGTTCTGCACATGTAGCAGCAGCGACAAAAAAAATTGAACATAACATCAAACTCTTCAGAAAAATTGGACGAAGACATTTTTTTGATTTTTTTGAAAGATAGTGTAGTAGATAAGTATAAAAAATGAGAAGGGTTGAATGGTTTAAATAAGTGTTAAAGTTTAAAAGAGAAAAAAAAATAAAAAAATCAGATTTTGGACCGTTTGCAACGGTCAAATGTGAGCAGCCAATCAAATTCGTCAATAGAACGCACCCTCCGAAAACCACGATGCACCCTAGGCCGCACCTGGACCGCACCCAGGGGACGGTGTTCATGGCTTATGTGGCAGAGGGAGTGCGGTCCAGGCAGTAGCGGATCTAGCCCCTTTAAGTGGGGTGCATGGACCCCACTTGGAGGTGGGCCCCACAATTTTTACTACTAAATAGTCTTCCAAAAATCCAAGTTTTACAAAAAAAAAACCATCTTTGGCACCCACTTTTACATTAAATACCCTCATTGACATTTTTTTTACTTCAAAAACCCAAAAATACATTACATTTTAAGAATTTTATAATTTTTTGAATTTTTTGGATCCGGTTAGATTTGGTTCTGGATCTGCCACTGGTCCAGGCCGCATCACTTCCTCTGGTCTAAAACTCTCTTTGTGAAATCACATGTGCTCATCTAGTAATTTTTATAGAAATTAGTAATCATCAACAAGCGTTTTAATAAACGCTAGTGACAAATGTATTGATTATAACGATTTAAACCTAATCTTAATCCTCGAAAAACGGAAAAGGTCTCAAATTCCTAAATCGACTGAATAAAAAAACCTTGAAGTAACTAACTAATTAGAATATAGTTTTCTAATCATACAAATAAAAGCAATACAAAAAACCCTATAACAACCTCCAAAATTTTAACTCAAATTAAGACAAAATTACAAAAATGGTCCATGTGGTTCGCCAAAAGTCATAAAGTCAGTCTCTGCTAATTTTTTTTAATGCAAATGGTCATTGTGGTTTGCAAAACTTGCAAAGATGGCCCTTTTTACTAACGTCGTTAGCATTAAGCCGTTAGGGACTGAATCTGTAAGGACATTTTCGTCTTTTCAAGTATAAAGGGACTGAATTCGTGACATTTGATAAACCACAGGGACCATTTTTGAAGTTTGTTTGAAAAAGTGAAATAATTAGCTTAAAGAAGAAGGAGACTCGAACTCGAGACCTCCACCCCCCTTATATCACAGGGGCCCTTACCAATTGAGCTAGAAGCTCATTTGGTTATATATTCCGAAAACTATTTTATATAATAACGAAAACGTTAATACCTAAATAATAAATAATTACAAAAACTAATTTTTTTATATATTTTTTTTTAAATAAAACAAAATGTATTTTAGCCGTATTATAAAAAAAATAGTTTTTTACAAACAATTTGTATGTATTTATTTTACGTAAAATATATTTTTTTATGTCGCTAAAAAATACGTTTTCGTATAAAAAATTATGTTTTCCTAAAATATATTTTTTCATGTCTTTGAAATAATAATAATTAACACTACTCATGACACAAAAAAAATGTACAAATTCTTTTGGGTCGCTAGTTTTAAAACCGTTTTTACGGTTATATGTATTAAAAACAATATAACAACGATTTTGTTATGTATCTAAAAAATTTATTCGTTTTTTTTATGTCAAGAGTAGTATTAATTATCGTTATTTCAAAAAGATATATCATTATTTCTTTTCATCTTCATTTTAACAATACGATTTAGAACTTGCGATTAAGATGAAATACGTATTTTAAATAAGATATATATAACCGAATTGGTCTAATCGTTTTTCTGAAAACCGTTTTTCAGTTATATGTATCTAAAAAAGCATAAAAAACTTAATCGGTTATATATATTATTTAAAATACGCATTTCATATTAATCGCAAGTTCAAAATCGTATTGATAAAATGAAGAAAGAAAAGAAATAATGATATATCTTTTTGAAATAACGATAATTAATACTATTCTTAACATAAAAAAAACATATAAATTGTTTAGATACATAACAAAATCGTTGTTATGTTGTTTTTAATACATATAACCGACGAAAAAACGGTTTTAGAACTAACGACCCAAAAGAATTTATAAATTTTTTTATGTCATGAGTAGTGTTAATTATTATTATTTCAAAGACATGAAATTTTTATTTTACGAAAACATATTTTTTATACGAAAACGTATTTTTTAGAGACATAAAAAAATATATTTTACGTAAAATAAATACATAAAAACTGTTTGTAAAAAACTATTTTTTTTATAATACAGCTAAAATACATTTTGCTTTATTTAAAAAAAATTATATAAAAAAAATTGGTTTTTGTAATTATTTATTATTTAGGTATTAACGTTTTCGTTATTATATAAAATAGTTTTCAGAAGACATAACTAAATGAGCTTCCAGCTCAATTGGTAAGGGCCTTTGTGGTATAAAGGGGTGGAGGTCTCGAGTTTGAGCCTTGTCCCCTTCTTCTTTAAGCTAATTATTTCACTTTTTCAAACAAACTTCGAAAATGGTCCCTGTGGTTTATCAAATGTCACGAATTCAGTCTCTTTATACTTGAAAAGACGAAAATGCCCTTACAGATTCAGTCCCTAACGGCTCAATACTAACGGTGTTAGTAAAAAGGGCCATCTTTGCAAGTTTTGCAAACCACAATGACCATTTGCATCAAAAAAAAAATTAGCAGGGACTGACTTTGTGACTTTTGGCAAACCACAGAGACCATTTTTATAATTTTGTCTCAAATTAATGAAGTATATGGCTTATTAAAGGGTTTTCAAGCATAAAACTTTGGTGGGTGTTTAATCAAAACCAAATCTTTTTTCCATTAAATTCTTGATGCAGAACTCAAACGTGGTTACAAGGTAATGTTAATAAAAAGAACGTAATCACATTTTGTTAGATTTTTTCAATCGTATGATACGAAAATACAACTTAAAAGAACATGTTATTTTGCAAAAATAAAAAAATCAAGCACTGATAGCGTTATTACACATGCCAGGATTTCTGATGCACCAAAGCGGTTGAATCGGTTCAGCCTTCACCCCTCTCTTCACCATTCTATTTATCCACTCATTCAACCTATCCGTCGCCTCCCCAGATCTCTTCATCCCCGCCTCATCACGGTTGCCGGACCACAACACCTCCGCCATTGCCGACGACCTTGGCCAAATCCTTGAATCAAGAACCGTCGCATCCGCCTGTTCCGACCACAAAGCCACCTCCCCACCTAAAACCAACTTCGCCTCCGCCTCCGTCAGCCCATATGTTATATCATAGTTGTATATCAACTGCCATGTCTTGAAAGGCCCACACCAAGATCCACCGTTTCCTTGTTCAGTGCCTGGTGGTTGATCGTATATACTGTTATTCCCGGTGAAATCGCCATGCCCGCAGTCCAGGTAATAGTAATCTGCCGACGATACGATTGTCCGGTAACCCGCCGACACCAATCGTTTCGTGTTGTTGGGGCCGCCGTTCCATGTCTGCATAATGGTGGTCTCCGGAGGGAGAATCGAAGGATTCACCTTAATTTCGCCGTCGAGAATAACGTCCTCCCAGTAGACGGCAGTGCGATTGAGCGACAGAATGTAAGGGTAGGTAGAGTTGATGAAAATTTCGAGGACTTGACTGAGAGTGCCGTTGTTAGCAAGATATTTTTGGATTGTGGCGTCGGCTTTCCAACATCCAGGAACCACCTCATCGGCTCCGCCGTGGAACAATGTATCTGGAAACAGAGTAGTGAGTTCTGTGAAGACGTTTTTCACAACGTCGTAGGTTTTCGGGATTAAAGGATTCAGGTGACCGGTTCCTGGCTCTGCTGCCAGCCGGTCTTCCCACGAGGCCCCCGCCGGCATCCAAAACATGTTGGCACAAGCTACAATCTCCGGATAAGCATCGGCCCATGACCCCGTGTGCCCTGCATAACGATAAGAAAAGGAGCCATTGATAACATCAATCGATCGGGAATTACGAATCGCCAGAAAACGTGCGCACACTGACAAAAATGAGACTTACCAGGCATATCGATCTCCGGAATCACTCGAACGCCGTGTTCCAACCCGAATTGTACAATCCGCTTCACATCTTCCGTCGAATACTGCATATCCGATCCATACGATCCATTTCCGGCAAGCGCTGGTTCCGATTTCAGAACCAATGGAAATGAATGCGAATCCGTTATGTGCCAATGGAACACGTTCAGTTTATTGGCACTCATACCTCCAATCAACCTCAAAAGATCCTCAACACCATAGTAATTCCTTGAAGTATCCAGTAGAATCCCTCTGTGTTCGAAGATAGGCCAATCCGAGATCACCAATCCGGCTGCCACTCGAGCAGGGCTTCCCCATACTAGTTGCGAGAAACTCTCCAGTCCTCTCATAGCTCCCCAAGGCGTCGCCGCCGTGAGAGTAGCCGAGGTGCTTTTGGACGGGATGGTGAGAGTGTAGGATTCATTGACGCCATGAGAGAGCGTTGCGTTGAGATCTGATATGGTGATCGTTAAAGTTTGTAACGGCAGGGAGGTAGTGAAGTTGATGACCGGAGCAAGTAAGGGGTTGTAGTTAGCGGTTTGGATTTGGCTGAGGTAACGGTTAACCGCCGGTGTTAGATAGGGGTGCTGCGGAGAAGTAATGGCGAAAGATGGGGAAAAAGGGATTGCCTGTGGGGTGGTCCAGATGAAGGATCTTGGTTTGGGCCATATATTAATCGGAGATCCAACGGCTGAGATTGAAGGAACCAAAGTGAGAAATAATAATAGTAAGTTAAAAATAGTGGAAAATTTATTGATATTCATTTTTTGTTGTGGAAAGTAAAGCGAGTGATGAGTGATGAGTAGAAGAATGGAGAGGATAAATTTATATACTTTTTTGAAAATATAAAAAGTCAATGGAACGAAGGATATTTCATTTGTTTGAACTTTTAGATATCTCTTTTCTCATTTTGTTTCTTCCATTTGGTGTTTTGTGTTTAGTTCATATAATGATATAAATAATCGTGTAATGATTTAAACCATGATTATTCGGTAGTAAAGTGTCATATATGGTATATGATTTCATATGGATTGATAGTATTTTTAAAGTATATTTCTAAATATGTTATGATTTCATGAATGATTTACTATGTTTGTGTTAAGCCGTATGAAATGATCATGATGTTTAAATTAACATTTAACATTTTGTAATAATTGAAATAAATAATGTTATACAAATTTTATATCCAATTTAATTTGTATTTTCACCATGTATGTTATAGAGTCTCTTGTTGGCTTTTATTTGTATAACATAGGTGATGAAAAATACAAATTAAATTCACTTTGAATATTATTTGTATACAAGAAATGAGTCACTAATTTAAATATAAACAAAGAAATAAATTTGTTTTGGAATTTTCACTGTTCATCCCAAAAATATAGATGATAATGATAAAAGTTAAAATAAACATTGTTTTTTTGATCAACAAACATACATTAAATTATTATTTTTACTTCACTTTGAATATGTAATAGCTGTTTAATTTAATTTTATTGAAGTAGACATAAGTCAAATTTGCATAAAGAACATGTATTAATAGTTAATCGGCGACTAGTGCCGGCGAGCCGTGAATTGCGTTGGTTTTCTTGAAGTGTTAAGTCGGCCGGATTTCCATTATTTTATTAACTTTTGGGGAGCATATTTTACTGTATTAATAGATAAAGGAGCCGAATGTAAACTTTGAATATTCCTAGGACCCTTTCTAAACAAGCTAAATAAATAATAGTAATGTAATATTTTGAGAGGACAAAACTGCAAAATTGGTCCTTGTGGTTTCATAAAAACTTTGGATAGGGTCCAAAACGTTTCCGACTTGCTTGAAGGTCCAAAATCAAAAACTTCTTTTGATTTTAGTCCAAAAAAACTTGAAATGACGGTTATGCCCTTTCATTTTCTTTTTTGTATTTTTTATAATTAATTTAATACCATTTTAACTTAAAAAAGGAAAGAAAATGATTATCCCCACCCACCTCCACTGTTCTCTCTCTCTCTCTCTCTCTCTCTCTCTCTCTCTCCCTCTCTCTCTCTCTACAATAAACACACACTCTCACACATACACACTTTTGATTCAGTTTCCAAGTCAAACCGATGGCGAAATTAGCACACTTACGAAATCAACATTAATTTTATTGTGTGTATTTGTTTATGTGTTGAAGAAGGAGGAGATTATCTTAAAAGGTTAGTGCACCTTGATTTTAGATTCAGCACACATGTTTACAGATTTAGATATTGTTTCTGGTGGTGAGGCTCATAAACAATTGTTGGTTCAACCCCAAAACACACATCGTTATCGAATGATCTGATGAGGAAGACTCATATCGTTGATGCAGGTTCATCACCACCCCCTCCCATCTTCTTCTTCCTCACCTTTTACCTGCAACTGAAACCTCTTACATATACATCCTGAAAATCAAATCTCTCACAAACGAAACCCGCTAATTGAGGTGTTGGTTCTAGGAGTCAAGACATCTGATGACATCGCTCAGCCACCACTTCATCTTCTCCGACATTGGTTTAAATATTCTTCTGGGTTTTCAGTTTACATCATCTCATCTTCTAGGTTTTTGATTTCCACAAAGAGGGGTAAGATCAGCAAGAAAAAAACACCTTTAATTGCAAGAATGGAGATCAAATAAGGGAAGCCACGAGTTTTAGCTTCCTAAGTCGTCGGTGACGAATGCTTGGTCTCGCCAGAGACATCGTACCATTTTTCTCTGATGAGACACAACATAGAGATGAGGTAGGTGGGTTCAATCAATTCAATCAGGGGGTTAATTAACAGGGGAAGTAGAAGATGGTCGGGAAATGGGCAAGTTGATATTAATGATTCACTTATTCTTATTCCATTTTTGACATTGATTTGCTTCTCTGATATGGGGTTTTGTTCATTTAATTGCATTTGAAAGTGAAAAGTGAGGAAGAAAATGGAAAAAAGAGAGAATTTCACAGAGAAAGAATCGAAGAGAGAGAGAGAGAGAGAGAGAGAGAGAGAGTAAGAGAAAAGGATATATTTTTTTAATTATAAAATAGTTAAAGTTGATATTAAAAATGAAAAAAAAATCAAAAGGGTAAAAAAGTCTTTTCAGGTTTTGTAATGACTAAAATGGACTAAAATCAAAGGACGTTATTGATTTTGGACCTTCCATGTAAGTCGGAAACGTTTTGGACCATATCCAAAGTTTTTATGAAACCACAAGGACCATTTTTGCAATTTTGTCTTTTGAGAATATAAATATAACCACTCCAAAATTCATGAGTGTTGGTGAGATTCTTAATGACATATTTTACTTGATTGTGACCTTAACCCCAAATTTATATTAAAAAGAAAATAAGGAATATGTTTAATCTTTATCTTGGACCCCGGTAGTAATTTTTTATGAATCCGCTTGAAGACCTGTTTCTAGTCATCATATGTGTCAAGGTTTAGCCTTTAGGTCGAGGCATTTGGTGCATGCATCACGTTGAGCCTTTTGTCTCATTTCTCAAGTTATGGTGTGTATAAATCTGTCCAAAAACTAGATTTTAAATTTATAAACCCCATTTTATAAGAGCTTGGAACAATTATCATAGTATTGATGAGACTTAATGACAAACTCAATAAGGACAAAGTGAATTAATTTAGACAATCAGATGACTAGTTAAATTAAAGACATCAAAACAAAGAGGGTGGATTCTTTTAAGCTAAAGAATACTAAGAAACAAGCAAATAATCAAATAATGAAAAATAATTAGGAAGCACATAACTAAATGTACTTTTACCTTTCAATTACACATATGTTGATTACTAAAAGTGCAATGTATATTAGTTGTTATTTATCGATTCCTAAGTTGATTTGTTCCCTTGGCCAGTTCTCAAATCCTAATGATGATAAGGGCAATTAACACAATAGTCATGTATTTAATTAATCCCTAAAGTTAGTATTTAGTTCGTTGTAACATCTATAAAAATCACGATCAATTTAAACTTTTCAAAACAACCCATTTACTAATAAAAATGTTTACAAAACCATTGTTTCCAAAACATGATTTAAAATCAGAGTCTTCCAAGATCCAGTCAGTAGTAAAACCAATGATGTGTACGGTCACGCCTTCACCTCGCCACGATCCTCTGAAGAACCTGAAACCATAAAATAAAATTGTAAGCACGAAGTTTAGTGAGTTCCCCCAAAGTACCAACACACAAACAGATAGCATATACAAATAACAACATGTACTGGGTCGACAGCTAAAAGACTGGATTACCCCTGAGCCCACAGTATGAGTGTGGCTTGCCTATCGGGCCCATAGCTCATATCTGGCTTGCTCCTGAGCCCATAACATAAGTATGGCTTGCCCCTGGGGCCCACAACTTATATCTGACTTGCTCCCTGACCCAATCAGTCATCAGACTGAAGTACCCTCAAGCCTCAGTACGAGTATGGCATACCACCCGGTCCTCCGCTCGAATCTGGAATGCATCTGAGCCCTCAGTATGAGTCTGGCATGCACCACCCGACCCTCAACTAATAACTGGAATGCTCCAGGGTTTGTTGACTATAGCACGAAGCAGTACAACCTCAACCCAACACAATATGTCGACATATAATAAATAACAAACATATACATATAATCATGCAGATAGAAACACAGGTAGCCCTACAGATCTACCAGACTAGCATATACAAATAACAACATGTACTGGGTCGACAGCTAAAAGACTGGATTACCCCTGAGCCCACAGTATGAGTGTGGCTTGCCTATCGGGCCCATAGCTCATATCTGGCTTGCTCCTGAGCCCATAACATAAGTATGGCTTGCCCCTGGGGCCCACAACTTATATCTTACTTGCTCCCTGACCCAATCAGTCATCAGACTGAAGTACCCTCAAGCCCTCAGTACGAGTATGGCATACCACCCGGTCCTCCGCTCGAATCTGGAATGCATCTGAGCCCTCAGTATGAGTCTGGCATGCACCACCCGACCCTCAACTCATAACTGGAATGCTCCAGGGTTTGTTGACTATAGCACGAAGCAGTACAACCTCAACCCAACACAATATGTCGACATATAATAAATAACAAACATATACATATAATCATGCAGATAGAAACACAGGTAGCCCTACAGATCTACCAGACTAGCATATCGGCAACTAGCATAATCATACATATCTATTCCATACTCAACATATTAGTGAATGACAAGATATTAAACCAATGGGCCGGTCTTGGTGCTTTCGACCCGCAAGTATAATGAGGAAAATCACCTGAAGCGGCCGAATATCTCAGACAAATGCTCAGATCGCTGATCCGGAAATCCCCACGCGCTAGCACCATCAAATATCTTCCAATTAATAATTGAATCTCGACCCATAATCAAGAATCTGAATTACTTGCCTAATGATCAGGGTAAAAGACCATTTTACCCTTTTTATTACTTAACCTAAAACCAAGACCCGATATGGCTCAACTTCCTAATTGTGCCCAAAACCATCATGAATCAAATTCCAAGAAAGCCCATAATCAACCCATGACCCAAGGTCATAAGTCCAGTGGCCTAACAAGGCCCAAACCAAAAGACCCAAAAATCACATCCTGGGGAGTACGTCCCGTGTACCAGAAGTGTACGCCCCACGTACTCACCCTCTAAGCGAAATGTACAAGTCCTTAAAGTATGCAACTCTATTTACACTAAGCATACTTCTGAGTACGCCCAACATACTCATCAGGGGATAAAAATTCACATTAAGCTCTTATTGGGTTAAGTCAAAGGCATCCAACCACTTATCTTAACCCTAAATGATGCCTTAAACCATAAAGTCAAAACCTTTAAGCCTTTGC